TGGGGAAGTGCAGCAGCCTCGGGTGGGAGGGGCGCGGCCAGGGCCGCCTTTCTGCTCCAGCCCAGAGCCGCCTTTCTGCCCCAGAGCCTCCCCCTTTCCGCCTTCCTATGCTTCTCAGAGGCCCCGAGCAGCTGGGGGCGCGCAGAATGCATGGGTCGTCACCAGACACAAGCATCCCACCCCACCCCCGGCTGCTCAGTGCCCACATATGCAAATCAACCCACCATCTTTGTTGGGTTAATTTCCATGCTCACTCTTGATTGGCTGGTGGGCATTGCGAAGGTACGATCAATTAGGGTGTTACTCTTTTATTAGGTAGATAATTCACTGTTTTCTGATGAGGGTACATTGGATGTTGAATGTTGGAAAAGAATAGGTCAAAACTTTAAAGAAGCTCAGCGGTCCACCCCCCAGGGCCCCAGGGCAGCCCAGGGCAGGGGCTGGGGGACAGGGGGGATCAGCAGTGGTGACCACAAGGACAGCTGCCACCAGGAGGCTCAATAGTCCCTCCATTAACCTTTCCTTTTTCTCAGAGACCAGCAGGGCCTGAGGAGCCATTCCCGTTCCCTATGAGATGAGGCGATGGCTCACACAGGGCACGAGGCCGACTGCAGAGGTCGCTGTGGGTCCCTCCTCAGGGTAGCCCCCACTGGAGTCCCCGCCTCCTCCCTACAGACAGACCCTCCCCCCGCCCCCAGCGCCAGGCTGCTGACAAGTGTCCGCTCACAGCTGGGCCTCCCCAGAAACTGTCCCACCCTGAGGGGCCACCTGGCTCAGGGGGGACCCGGACACACTGAAGCCCATCCGGTCCCAGATCCCCACCGAGCACAGACCCACAGGGGGCTCCCCGGCACGCCTGCCCGTGTCATCGAACCTCCCACCCCAGGGGCCAAAGTGCCGCCAGCGCCTGTGGAGCTATCTCTGACCATCGGCACTAATAACCGCTCTGTGTGTCGTAAACTAAATAGATAATCAATGTTTATTGAGAAGATTACCCATTTAGTGCACCAGCTTAAAAAAAAAAAAAAAAAAAAACTTTGAAAACAAATTTCAAAAAATCTCCAGAGCCTACCATTATGTGCCTCTCTGTGTCTTTGGCACGAAGTTTGGTTGCTGAGTTTTTTGCTTTCCACCCCCTGCATGCGCGCCCGTGCCCACACACACTCACACACACACACACACACACACACACACTCACACACACACACACACTCACACACACACACACTCACACACACACACACACACACTCACACACACACTCACACACACACACACACACTCACACACACACACACACTCACACACACACACACTCACACACACACACACACACACTCACACACACACTCACACACACACACACACACTCACACACACACACACACTCACACACACACACACTCACACACACACACACACTCACACACACACACTCACACACACACACACTCACACACACACTCTCGCACACACACACACACACTCACACACACACACTCACACACACACTCACACACACACACTCTCACACACACACATACACACACACACACTCACACACACACACTCACACACTCTCACACACACACTCTCACACACACATACACACACACACACACTCACACACACACACACTCACACGCGCACACATACACACACACACACACTCACACACACACACGCACACTCACACACACATACACACACTCACACGCACACACATGATTCTGTCCTGGAAGTGAGTGCCTCGTTAGCTTCCCCCATGGCGGGATGGGAGGTAGCAACGGGGGGCGGGGCGCTGAGCAGCTAGGAGAGCAGCGGGTGGGCGCTGGCAGGCACCTCCCCTCCAGCAGAGGCTCAGCGACCACGCGGACACGGGAGGCAGGAGCAGCCTGGGTCATCCACACGGAGGGTGACCTGAGTGGCTGGAGGGCTGCCTGGAGCGGGCGGCCCTGGGCTGTGCTGCTGCGGGCAGAAGCCGGGACGCTGGCAGTGAGCACGGGCGGAGGAGGCCTGCTAGTGGAGTGGGCTGCGGGTCTGTCCGGCCTGCCCCCTGGCCCTCCCCGCCGGGGCCCCGGGAAGGACGGTTCGCAGCCCTCCCCCTGAGGAGGCTGGGACCTGCAGCCTGCCCGCCGCGGAGGCCGGTGGGACGAGACGTCATGCTGAAGGCAGGGAAAAGCATTCTTTCGTGGAGTAGGCAAGTCCCTCCCAGACACGGAATTAAAAAGTGACTGACATGGAGGGGTGACGCCGTGACCTTGGGACGCCAGGTGGTCGGAGGGGGTGGAGGTCTCAGCCTGCGGGCACCGTTACTCTCACGGTCAGCAGCACCGGCTGGGCCGCCGGAAAACCCTTCTCCCCGTGGACAAGATGAATGTGCATTTCAGCTCAGCTCCATGGCTGTGCTCTTCACCTTGCGGCCACAGAGGGTGGGCAAGGGGTGAAGGATAAACAGACACAAAGTGAAAGGCCCATTAAGTGGTTAAGGAGAGTGACTCTATCTGAGCTAGCCCGAATCCTTATCAGTGGGCGAGTTAAGAAGCAAATTGCTATTGCCAAGGACAGCAGCATTGCACAGGTGATGGGGGCAAGGTAGGGGGGAGGTCAAATGTCAATGTCCGACGGACTGAGGTGTGCAGGGGCCTTATCTGCACTCGGAGCTCCCTGAGGCGAGTCCTGCCCCAATGCCGCCGGGAGATAGGGCGCACGCAGCCCCGCTGGCACCGGGACAGCTTGCTCAGCGCCTCTGCCCGCCACCCGGGGCGTCCCTACTGCCTCTGCTCCTCTCCCCTCCCGTCTTGTGCTTGGTCTTTCTCTCCCTGGTGGTGTCCCAAACCCCTCCCGTGTGTGCCAGATGGAGCTATGTGTGTCGCACATACACACACCTGTGTGCATGGGACCATATGAAATATGCACATACACGTATGTGTGAGTGTACACGCCCACACTTAAGCTAACAGAGTCCTGAACGTTACTGCAGTTCTGTCCAGCTGTAGGGTTAGGACTCCTCGGCTCCTTTTTCTCTTTAAGCCTCTTACTATTTTCTTACATGCATTGACTGCTCCTTAGCCTATAATTAAATTATTTTTCTTTTTTAAAATATATTTTTTATTGATTTCAGAGAGGAAGGAAGAGGGAGAGAGAAACATCAAGAGTTAGAGAAAAAATCATGGATCGGCTGCCTCCTGCACACCCTACACTGGGGATGGAGACTGCAACCCAGGCCTATGCCCTGATCATGAATCAAACCGTGACGTTCTGGTTCATAGGTCAATGCTCAACCCTGAGCCACGTGTGGCTGGGCTAACATGTTTTCTTAATGATGTAAAGGAGTATTTAACGGATGGGAAATGTTATGATAGTTGTTCATTTTGAGAGTGTTTACAAACGGTATGTATGCTATGGCTGCGACCAGCTCTGAGGCTGGGTATCTGCAATAGGGAGCCTGCGAAGGGCGCCCCTCAGTTTGGCTGCAAGGTGGGAACCCCCTGGAATCGAAGCAGCCGGCTCGGGCCCTGCTGCTCACTGCTGCTCCCCGCGGGAACGGCGGGAATTGGGGAACACGGGCATCTTCTGCACAGAATTTCTGCAGGTTTCCGAGCGTCTCCGCCCTCAGACCTGGACCTGACACCACCGCCACCCGAGATGAATCGGGTCCAGGGAGGCGGCAGGAGTGAGGTTGGCAGGCCACGAGCAGGCGGCCAGTGGGAGGCAGGCTTTACGGACGTGGCTCTGAGCGGCTTCTCACGGCCACGCGGGTGTCAGGGGAAAAGCAGGGCGAGGGGTGGGGTTTCCGGGCGGAGGAAAGGGGTGCCCGGGAGGCGCGGAGGGAGGGGACAGGTGAGCACCTGCTCAGCACAGGAAAGGTGCGAGGGCTTCCTGACTGGCACCAGCACCCTGATGGCCGGAGAATGTGCAGAACCAGGAGGGCTGCCTGCGGGAGGAAGGCAGCCTGGGGTCACCAGACGAAGCGTGAAGTGCCAGGTCGGGAGCTGGGAGGCCAGAGGGACCGTGGCTTCCCCACGTGGACGTGGGTCCCCTGGGGTGGCAGTGAGCCAGCTCAGTGTGGATGGCAGACAGCACGATGGGACCGATGATGACGACACGCCTGGAGGAGGTGAATAGCGTGAGGCCGCGGCTGGAAGGTCATGGCCCATTGGACATGGGCTCAAAAGAAAAGCTTTTCTTAAAAAGAAAATAAGGGGGGGGGGGGGCCTAAGTGTGGGATGTGCCCCGGCCAGGTGTGCGGAGTCAGGGCAGGAGAGGGGGCAGGGAAAGGCGTCGGTGAGCGGTGGTGTGACGCTTGCAGCTGCTCTCTGATGGATTCTCATGTTTCCCGGCCTCCTTTCTGCCTCTTGAATCCCCCCATCCTCACCCCGCACTCCCCGGGCCCATCACCATTCAAGGGCAAAGCCCAGCCTGCCCAGGGCCAGGCTCCCGCCAGGTGCGGAGGGCCGAACTCCCAGCAGCCTCGGCACAGGGAGGGACACGCTCGAAGTGTCTTATAACTGGTCAGTTAGTCTCAGGGTCATCACTGGGCCTCGCAGCTGCACTTGGCCAGAGAGCCTCACTGACAAGGAAATTGCTGTTGGGAACGGAGTAGCCACGGGGTCTCGCTGCCCAGCTGTTACTTGATCTGTGCTCCAGGCTATCTCCAACCAGCTGCACTTTGAACCTCGGAGCAAAAAAGGCTCCCTCAGAGCCTATGACTTCTAATTCTCCAAACAAACGTCCCACCAGCTGTGGTTTGAGAACGAGCAGGTGTGCTTGCCGTGTTCTAATGCAGTGAGCGTTCAGGAGAGGAACTGAGGGGTTTATAGATTTATAGAAACAAAAATTGCTTTGCATTCGAGAAACTTAGGTGAGGTGAGGTGGCCTCCTGAACTTTAAACTTCCACATCACAGCGCGAGATTGGCTCTAAGATAAGAAACAGAATAAATTCTCTCCTCGGGGCGGACCTGAGTCTTGGCAACAAGCTCAGACTCCGGCGGAGACC